TTGGTATTGAATTTGGTGAGTATCGATGAAAGGGTTTATTTTTTATAAAATTTTGAATTTTTTGAAAAATGTCTTTACACGCTGTAACTTTCAGAAAATTTGAAATATCCGATTAAATTTTTTTACATGAATAGAGTATTATTAAAGGATGTTTGATGTTGAATTTAGTGAGGATCGGTGAAAGAAATTATTTTAATTTTTATTTCGCTCACAAAGCTTCCTCTATGAGGAAGCAAAAATTGAAAAATCCGCATGCTTAAAGCAGCTTAAGCATTGTAAGATAAAATGATGAAGAAGCAATGTGCAAGTTTTTAATTTGCACAACTCTACTTGTTTTATAATATTTAATATCAATTATATCTCTTTGTTTCTATCATTCAAAAAAAAAATAGATTTTAAGCATTATTATATTTCGTAATACATAAAGAAAGTATTTTTTGCTAATCATAAAAATAAATTTACTTATTATAAATTAAATGTAATTTTTCTTTTATCATCAAATTATTTTCTTGCAACATTACTGATAAGATTCGAAAGATATATTTTTATTTTCTTCGCTAACTTGTCTAAAATTTTAAATCCATAAGTACCTGCAATGCTGCATAGAAGACGCAACGTAGGAGTCTCCCCACCATACTGATTGATCATCCCCTTGTTTGCGGCCTGCGGCACAGGGATCGTAAGAGTTATCGGTTTATGGAACTTTCGCCTTCTGGGTTCGATCGTGATCACTGGCGATACGGCGACGCAATTGCCGAGTAATTTGGCCGTGAGTTCAGCTTTGCGGCCTGGGATCGTAAGAGTTATCGGTTTATGGAACTTTCGCCTTCTGGGTTCGATCGTGATCACTGGCGATACGGCGACGCAATTACGCAATTGTTCGCGACGCCAAAAAATTCCTTCCGGCTTGTCTGATTTTGTCTATGTATGTACAGGAGCCGCGGCGCTATCAAGTAGCTTATCCGGAGTTTCCGGAGTTTTCTGGCATTTTTGGGATATTTTGACGTTATAGAATGAAAAAAAGTGGGAGAAAAAAATTAAATTAATATATTGTCATATATCTGTTATCTTTCAGACAATTGTGGATGAGACCATGGAAGATCATGGCCGTAAGAGCTCACCGGAAACGACGAAAAAGAGTGATTCGAAACCGGATGTAGTTATCAACATGCCGATGCCAGAAATGCATTCTGTAGGCGGAGTTTTAGTTCACATGCCACACGTACGTGTTTCTTACTAAATAAATTCTCAGTAATTATGACAAACTTTCCTTCAAACTCAAACGCTAATAACATGTTTGATGTTGGTCTCATTGAGGATTAAATTTCCATGACTTCACTGGAAATAAAGATTTTATTTTGCAATAAGGCAAATATTATGTTGTCTCTGTAATCTCGCTGCGTATTATACAATCTTTCATTAATAAAGCAGCGCATGCTAAACTCAAACTATTTTAATTGTTTATATATGTCCGTATGTGCGCTTTTTTCTCTCTGTCCCTTTCTCTCTTTCTCTATTTGTCTCTTCTTCTGCGACATGGCCTGATCACAAAACACGGTAGGCTAATCTATGTCACCGAATTAGCTATTTTGATCGTTTATGTCAGTTTTTCGAACAGATTATGACAGCCACAGTAGAGACAGTTTCGGAACAACTAGATCTTGCAGCTATAATGCCAACAGAAAAGGTCATGTCCGCTGTCGCGAGGACGGTTACGTTATCAGAAACTGATGTTGGTAGGACAATATTTTATATCGCATCTTTTTAATTAATTATATATTTAATAGTAATTTTTATTTATATAAATAAGCATATAAGTATACTTGCTTTTAGCTACTGCAACGGTAAGCGTGGCAAAACCTCATTTGATTGGCGAAAACGATGAGCCTGTGAACTTAAGTCCAGAAGCTGATTTAGATGATTTTTGGCATACCTCTGTAGGGAAGTTTCGTTTTACGATAGAAGAATTGCCGGAACAACTTCAATATATTCATAAACTATTGAAGGTAATATATTGTATTATAAAGTAAAAATGGGACTGTATTGTTTGCATAGACAGTTCTGCTTATGTATTCACTCGATAATTATGTTTTAAATCCTACATGTACTTAAAAAGTTTGATCACAATTACAATAGTCCTACAATCATAAATAAATTACAAGAATAAATTCTATTACATCAGCCATACACAAGACTAATTAACAAAAAGTGTAAAATTAAAAAAAAAATTAATTTTGTATAAAAATTTTATTTACAGGAGATAATGACGATCGACAAACCTGACATTCTTTACTATATGTTGCAATGCTTGAACGTAATGTGCTTATACGGTGATGCGTTTAACATGGCAGTGAAGGATCATCAAGGATTCTTTATATGGTGCCAGGAAAACTTGTTAATAAAAAAGTAGCGTATTTTATTTTATATATGTGTTATATTTGAAATGTTACATTTCTCGCAGAAGTAGCTAATGACGGAAAGATACGCGCGTGAGAATTGTGTGTTTCAGCTCTTTCAATCTTTTTATTGTTATATAGTTTATGGGAGCTCCTAAATGCAGAGTATTCACATATAGCACAAGTGACTGTTCCATTATTATTACATTGTGTGACATTACCTTGTGGTACTGATACTTTTTGGCGGCTTGTACAAGAAGAATTTCACAATTCTGATTGGCGCGTTAGATTCGTCGCAGGTAATCATGTACATAATTTAGAATAATAAATTGGTCTTTGCTATCTTTTCATCATTATAAATAATGAAAAAATATATATGTGTGTGTGTATTTTCTTTTTTTCAGTTGAGCGTGTTACATTAATTGCAAGATTTATGGACTCAACGCCATTACGGAACATATTGAGTCTTCAAGCTGCATTAGCAAATGCTTTTTGTTACTTGATTACAAGTATGGACGACAATAATGTGTATGTTGCACAGCGTGCAACTTTATATCTCGGAACTATTCATGATGCAGCAATTAGGGTAAATCTTATCACCTTTAAATTTATGTATGCTTCAAAATATCTAATTTATCAATATTAAATAAGACAAATTTTTATATTATATACATATATCACATATTTAAATCTATTACATATTTTTAATGTTAAAGAATCGATTAATTTGTTTGAGAGATCTCTATTGTTACAAATGTTTGGCTTTAGCGTAATGAATCTAATTGTATTTAAATTATATTACTTATAATGATTTTAGTCGTTAATTTTATGTCTGGAGACACAATTCGATTCCGTAATCGTAGATCGGCCGATGGTATTACAATCGCTTTACCAGCTACACAATAGTCTTAGTGATCGGCGTATATTGACCTGGGAATTTTTCTTAAATCGATTTGACACATTATTCCTCGAAGCCCAAATCAGTTTGGAGAAATCGGGAGATATAGCTTATTTGCGCGGTTAGTATCATTATAGCATTAGGAAGAGAGGATAGAGAGATGTATGTTGCAGTTTTTTATAGAGTTTTTTAAAGAACCATGATTTTATGTGTATTTGCATCAAATATTATCATCTTTGATTAAGCTTTCCTTTGCGCCGTAGATCTAAAAAACACAGATTTGAATAGCGAAGTGTTCATGAAAAAATTGCATCGTGCCCACGAAGCGCTATCTCAATCTGATGGTAGCGGGACAAGCTCTGTAAAAACGCTGAGCGCAAGTTTTGGCACAAAATGGCCATATAAGCGTACAATGTCCGCGCCCGCATCGATGATACCTCGACAAGACACTAAACAAGGTATACAATACATAAGCGTTCCTGTGCTTTATAAATTCCTTTTATCGCCTTTTCGCGCACTCCACAGACTATGTCGTACACTATGTGTTATTTTTTTTCTTTTGTTTTCCGCATCTTTCACGCAGAAAAGGAAAAGGTGTACAGCCGACAATATTCCGCGCCCATCTTGAAAAGGAAGAGCTCGAGATTTGGACTGGGTCAGTTATTGGGGTCTACCCCGCCTAATAACAGTATCCCAGGTAGAGTAGCGTGTGTTGCCTGTGTAGCTGTAGACGAGACATAAATATGTGTTTTCATTATCAAGCGACGCGGTAGCGTCGCGACGCCAAGTATATAAAAAAATTCCTTCCGGCTTGTCTGATTTTGTCTATGTATGTACAGGAGCCGCGGCGCTATCAAGTAGCTTATCCGGAGTTTTACGTCTAATAAACTTTCGATTAAAATTCCTCAGGAACTAAAGCCGTAATTAAAACTCTAACGGCACTTTTATTATATAATGTGGATGCAAGCTTTCGATTGCGACCAGTTTGAATAAGATTGGTGCAGTCAATCCTGAGGAATGATAATCGTATACTAGAATTGTGACACTTTTGGTTTTCAGAATAAGTTTCAGACTCACGTACGTATGTTCACACGCATACACGCAAAGTGATTTTATCCCTCAAGCGGCGTTCACATTGCTCATATACGATTATTCGCTTGAGTGTGCAAAACGTTTTGAGAGACAAGATCATATGTGGATGTGTGTACGTATGTGTGAGATGTTTATATTTTAGAAGAGTACGCACGGAGTATAATATGACAAGAAGAAAAGTAATAATGATTAATAATTATGAGAATATCGCGGAATAGTGCAATACAAGGAAGAAAAGTGATAAAGTGGAAAGTGCAGTCAATCCTGAGGAATGATAATCGTATACTAGAATTGTGACACTTTTGGTTTTCAGAATAAGTTTCAGACTCACGTACGTATGTTCACACGCACACACGCAAAGCGATTTTGTCCCTCAAGCGGCGTTCACATCGCTCATGTACGATTATTTGCTTGAATGCGCAGAATGTTTTAAGAGACAAGATCATATGTGGATGCGTGTACATACGTGTGAGATAATAATAATGTTTCTATTTTATAAGAGTACGCGCGGAGTATAATACGACAAGAAGAAAAGAGAAAAGTGATTAACAGTTATGAGAATATTGCGGAATAGTGCAACACAAGAAAGAAAAGTGATAAAGTGAAAAGAAATTATTAACACGGAATAGTGCAAGGAAGAGAAGTGATTTCTTTTAATCGTATTGAACAAAGTTAAGTTATATTAGCGAAATTGAACAAATGCTTTACACGCAATCTGCTTGAATCTGTGCATTATCAATTAACATATTTGTGATAACTAGATTGTTTGAAAATGATTATGGAGGCATTGAAGAAATATTTGGAGATTTTGGCTGGCCATGTTTTCGATAAGCTGGTATAATAATTATACGCAAGAACGTGCATTCATGTATATAATATTTATTTATATTTTATATGTAAATGTAATTAATACATAATTAATATTTTGAGGTTAACTTACAAATGGCTACGCAATGAATTTATGTAAATGTAGCAAAATAAATCTGGTAAAAGTTCTATGAAAAACATTATAGAAACAACAACATTGAATACACATTTTTATTAATTGACTTCATAAGGAATAATGAAATGATAAAATCATATCGAAGCACTTCTATAGTGTCCACAAACATTTTGCGGATCTGGAATTATTCGCAACTTTTGGTTCTGGAAATATGTGAATGTTTATTTATATTTTATTTATAAATGTAATTACTGTGTAATTAATATTTTTAGAACATTTACAAATGGCTAAGCAATGAGTTGCATATTTACGTTAATATAACAAAACAAATCTTGTGGGAATTATATAAAAAATATTATATACAATGGAATTGAAAGCATCAGAGTTAGAGCTTGAAATAGAAAGCATTAGTCAAAGAACAGAAATATGGTAATAATTTTGTTTATAAATTATATAATAAAGATTATTTATTTTCTTGGATAATGATTAAACTTATTTTTTTTAAGCAATAAGAAACGTGAACAATGCAAATTGATGATTTATTTGGATGGAGCTGCCTTTTCCAATATAATGTTATCGAAGAGTATTAGAATATTTGTCATCGACAAATATAATTAAAGATTAGTTAAATCAAAACGAGGAGGAAAAGTCGGTTAATGATGCTAAACTGCAGATTTTATTAGAGGATGGTACAAAAATTTAAAAAAATTTGGCAGGTGCGTTGATTAAAACAGAAGCCTACGATGCAGCATTAGAAAATGTAAAACATGTTTTGAGATATCAATCACAAAATGTGAAGGCACTATTTAGGAAAGGTATTACAAAAATCCTAATCTTATTATTTATTTTTTTTTTAAATAAGTTACGTATATTCTTGATTTATATTTTACATATGGAAAATTCAAATATGTGTGTATATTGTGTGTATTGTAGGAACAATACAAATAGATGTGTACATATATTGTGCGTATCGTAGGAACAATATTGAGACACAAAGGGGAATATGCAAGAGCTTATGCAATCTCTCTTTCTCTCTCTCTCTCTCTCTCCCTCTCCCTCTCTTTCTTGTAGCCCATCTTGAGAGCTTTCCAAAACACTATGATAAAGTATTTTTTCATTAATACTTTTTGGGTTATTTTATATTTTATTCTGACATATTTTGATATAAAAATTAAAATATCTCGTAAAATATTTAGTTTTCGATAATCTTTCCGTAATACTTTTATGTACAGAATAATGAGACAAATCAATTAGTAAAAAAAATTAATTGTTTTTAAGAAAAAGTATGTAATTATTTATAATGTATTTTTTTAAACAATTATTCGTTTTTTTTTAAATTAATTGATTTGTCTCATTATTCTGTACATAAAAGTGTTACGGTAAGATTATTGAAAACTAAATATTTTACGAGATATTTTAATTTTTTTATCAAAATATGTCAGATTAAAATATAAAATAATTCAAAAAGTACTTAATGAAAAAATACTTTATTATAGTGTTTTGAAAAGCTCTCGAGATAAGCTACAAGAATATGCAATAAAAAGTAGGCAGTTCCATTTAAAAAATTAAAGGTGACCTTGCTTTTTTTATGGAAAAAAAATGTTTGGTCAATTTTTATTCTTGCAATTTGTTGCCGGTTAGAAACTGATAAATTTCTGTTTATGACTTTTTTATGTCAGATTATTGTAAGTGCCTTAAAAATCGTGGCGACCGTTACGAGGACCACCCTGTATACACACATATTTGAATTTTCCATATGTAAAAAATAAATCAAGAATATATGTAACTTATTTAAAAAAAAGATTAAATAAAAAGATTAGGATTTTTGCAATACCTTTCCTAAATAGTGTCTTAACATTTTGTGATTGATATCTCGAAACATGTTTCACATTTTCTAAAGCTGCATCGTAGGTTTTTGTTTTAATCAACGCAGCTGCCAACGCAAATTATTATAAACTTTTATACGATCCTCTAATAAAATCTGCAATTTAGCATCATTAACCGATTTTTCCTCCTCATTTAGATTCAAATTTGAACTACTTTTTGTCGATGATAGATATTCTAATGCTCTCCGATAACATTATATTGCAAAAGGCAGCTCTATCCGAATAAACCATCAATTTCTACGTTCACGTTTCTCATTGCTTTAAAAAAATGAGTTCAACCATTATATTAAAAAAAGTTAAATAGATTAAATCTTGACCTCAAAGTATTTAGTCCAAGAAAATAAATAACCTTTGTTATATATAATTTATAAACAAAATTATTATCTTATTTCTCGTCTTTAACTAATGCTTAACATTTCTATTTCAGGCTCTAACTCGCTTTTAATTCAATTGTATATGTAATATTTTTGATAGGTCCCCCAAGATTTGTTTTATTACATTAATATAAACATGCAACTCATTGCTTAGCCATTTGTAAGTAAACTAAAAATATAATTGCGCATTAATTACATTTATATATAAAATATAAATAAATATTCACATTTCCAGAACCAAAAGTTGCGAGTAATTCCAAATACACAAAATGTTTGTGGACATTATAGACGTGCTTCGATATGATTTATTCATTTCATCATTCTTTATAAAGTCAATTACTAAAAATGTGTATTCATTCAATGTTGTTTTATGATATTTTTGGTAAAATTCCCACAAGACTTATTTTGCTACATTAACATAAACTCATTGCTTAACCATTTGTAAGTTAAACTAAAAAAAATTTTTATAATATAAAAAATATAAAAATGTGACGGTAATAGATATTGATTTTTAAGAATTATGTACCATAAGGCGTATTGAGGAGAGTATCATCATTATCCGCAGAGTTATCGTGCTCCTTCCATGTTTCCCCATTCTCGCTCCGCAGGATAATAATTTCCCTTTCTTTTCCGCGAACGGACGCAAAATTCGGTATGTCGATTAAGACGGGTCTGAAATCAATTTATCTCCGTGCAAAAAATCGAACACGTACGAAAAAAATAGAATCTATATTATTATTCCCAGTATATACAAAACATATATATTTTATAGAGTTCTTAATTTTAAGCTTACCCTAAAAATCTCGCCCCCACCGGACCCATCTCGATAATTCGCGTAGCAAGGGCTTCCCCTTCCATCAAAGGGGGCGGATTCGCCACCTTGTTTAGCTTTACTAGTCTACACGTTACACGGATCGGCATCGTCGCTCTTCGAGGCGGTATAATGATGCGGACACCGCTGTGTCTGCATCCTTTCATGGTACCACCACGCGCGTCCACCAGAAAGCTTATTAAAAATCTGTAAACGCAGATTTTTTTATAACACTCTTTTATTCGTCTGTATTTCTTTTCTGTCTTTACGTAAACTTAGTTTCATACTTACGATCGAAAATGCAGTTTCCTGCGAAAAAAGAACATACACTTTTATATAAAATCTAAGAGAGTGGAAATTTCTGAATATCAATTTATTTAATTATTATAAATATAATTCATAAAGTTTTGCAAAAAAGTAACGTACTAAAAATATATGATTATACATTATTTTGTAAAGTAAGGATAAAGGGAGGATAATCGACACTCACCCTAGATTGACACCGTCGGTGCTATCAAAATTTTCTGCTAAACAGTAATTATTGCTTTGCACGAATTGTTGCTTCTCTTCTTTAGTAACTAAAAGAAAAATAATTATGAAACTCATTAACTACGCATTAACTTTTTGGAGCCCAGTTATTTTTCATTTTAGAGCTATCTCTATATAATATTATTTTATTTGAATAGAACTAAAACACATAAGAAATATTACAACACGTTACAAAGATATGAGATGAGAATGAAGTTTTAGTCATTCATCTTGAAAAAAATAAAATCTTATTAAAATCGTGGATTAATTTGTGTGTGTGAAGCTATTTCATCTATAATATTTTGTTTTCAAAATAAGCAATTTTGTTTTCTCATAAAAAAAGTTTTGTTTTCGTGACAAAATTTGTTTTACAGTTTTTTATGCCAATGTGTTTAAAATGTTTCAAAACATCAAAAAATCGTATTTTTTTTAAATGTCTGTTTGTGTGTGTGTGTGTGTGCCCGTGTGTGCCCGTGTGTGCCCGTGTGTGCCCGTGTGTGCCCGTGTGTGCCCGTGTGTGCCCGTGTGTGCCCGTGTGTGCCCGTGTGTGCCCGTGTGTGCCCGTGTGTGCCCGTGTGTGCCCGTGTGTGCCCGTGTGTGCCCGTGTGTGCCCGTGTGTGTGCGTGTGCCTGTGTGTGTGTGTGTGTGTGTGTGCGTGCGCGCCTGTGTGTGTGTGTACGGAATGTACATTGTACAACTTCTAACTTCCGCAATTTTTGAGATATTGGGATAAACTTTTTAAAATAAATATAGTATCATTAATGGATGGTTGGTATTGAATTTGGTGAGGATCGGTAAAAGGGTTTATTTTTTATAAAATTTTGAGTTTTTTGATAAATATCTGTACACACTGTAACTTCCGCAAATTTTGAAATATTTTCTTCTATGAGGAAGCCAAAATTGAAAAACCCGCTGCTTTAAAGAGCTTAAGCTTTGTGAGCGAAATAAAATGATGAAGAAGTACAATGTGCAAATTTCTAATTCGCACAATTTTCATCTTGTTTTTAGTTAAAAATGCGCAATTCTTACCCTGTCTATGTACCGGGTCATCCCTAGTAACATCAATAGGCAACGAATCATCCCTCAGACTCTTCATCAGATCCGCCGTGAGATACCTATAAGGCTGCTCGCTAATTAACGCGTCAGAACCTGAAAAACGAAGGCTCTTTTTTGCAAACAATTTCATTATTTTGCGTTAGTATTACTTTATATCCGTGCGCACACATACCTCCCTCGTCATCCGAATCGGACATAAAACTCGTTTCCTGCAAGCTCTCGGGAGCTATCACTTTGTACTTCTCCTCCCAGTTTTTGTTATCCGGAGTTGCACTGTCGTAGGGCAATCCTTTTAGCACTTCCATCACAGAAATATATCCTAATTTTTGTGCTATATTCAGTGCCGTTAAACCATCCTACAATGATAAGAGTTTCGTGAATATATCAAATACTGCAGAAAATTATATATCTTTTTACGATATTTTGTAATATATATAAAATAATATTTTATAATATTTCATATTATAAAATATAATAATATTTTAAATATAACATTTCAAGAGAAGATATATAATATATAATTAAGTATAATATTTTAAGAAGATAAGAGAGAAAGAGAAAGAGAGAGAGAGAGAGGGAGAGAGAGATGTTCAGTTAATTATTATAAAAAAGAGTTTTATAATATTAAAGAGTTTTATAATATTTTAAAAATACTATTTTAATAATTATTTTAATTATAATTATATTATATTATATACAGGGTGTCCCGCAACGTGATGTCCACACTGAAACTGTGTATTCTTTTTGTCATTCTAAGTCAAAAAGATAGACTAGAGATTTCATGTGCCTTCACAAAAAATAATCCAGAGGAGATAGATCGGGAGATCTTGCAGGCCAATTTATTGGACCAATTAATATCGGCATATTCTTCATTGGAAAATATACTCATGATTGGTAGGTAAGAGAAATTTCTAAACTATGTTTATGCAATGTTTTCACTTAAAACGACAGTCAATTTATTAATATTATTCAATAAAAATTAATTTTTAATGTTATATTATATTACAAATCTAATCAAATTAACGCATTAATAAATATTATTATACGTATTGTTATGTAGCCATTTATAGCAATAGTCGCTTACGTTAGTGCGCGCTTTATGTGAAGCATTTCCCTCCAGCAAAGCGGAAACGATATGAGCGTGACCCTGTTGGGCGGCCTGATGAAGCGAAGTGTAATTCTGATTAGTTCTGACGTCTATTTCGGCGTTATGTTTCAGCAGAAAGCGTATCATCGATAGATTCCCAAAGTGCGCGGCCACATGTATCGGTCTATAACCAGTCTCTGTCTGGCTCTCGACGTTGGCCCCGTTCTTCACCAGGATAGAGGCCACTCTAATGAAATCCTCTTGCGCACATAGATGCAACGCCGTGAGACCGTTCTGATCCAGATAAGAAGACGATAAGTATCTATTGTCGTTCGTTACATTTCGCGTTGCATAGAATGAGTATCAAAAGACACACTATCGTGAATTCGGTATCAAAATTGATACCGGAAGTTATTTAAATATATTGTGATAGAAAAGTAGAAAAATTTTAAGTCGAAAATGATTCAGGGAGTAAAATTCATTAGAAAAAACCCAAGTTACAAAAAATTCATAATTTTTGCGACAGTGAATAATGATTAAACAAAAAATCGCGCACGTACACTGAAAAAAAAAGGTCTAAATAAAATCTAAACAAAATAATTTTTTATTTGAAAAAATTATTTATTTAAATACTTGCAAAGAAATTAGTTATTTCAATCAAGCAGCAAATATATTTGAATTAGTAAAATATAAAATGAAAGCAAATTTATTTGCAAATGAAAAAAGAATTTGTTTTATCTTTATACTAAATTATTGCTTTAAAAGAAAAACATATTTTTAAATTTTTGGCTGCTTGTTTTAAAACAGATTTTTTTCATTTTAAATATCTTTAAATCAATATCTTTTATATTAAAATTTTAAATATTGTATTTTAAAAATTATCATTTTTATTACATGCAAATAATAATTTATTTAATAAAACAAAAAGACATTGTAAACAAAATATTTATTTATTTAAGTAAGAAAATCAAAATTAACAAAATGTATTTATTTGATCGAAAAAATTTTATTTTTAATATTGTAATTTCGATCAATTTTTCAAAAATATAAAATTTGAAACTTATATAAAGTTTGTAGAAAAATGATTGGTTATTACCTTGGCTTTGTGATTGGGATCGGCACCGTGTTCAATTAACAAGTTCGTCATATCGTAATGGCCCTTCTGCGCGCTTAGATGCAACGGGGTGAAACCTGCTTTGGATTCCGCGTTCGTGTTTGCTCCGTTTTCCAAAAGAGTGGAAGCGATATCCATCTGGCCGCCATGAAAGACGTCGTTTTCGCGAAATGGTTACTCGGAATTGATATCAGATACACCGTGCAAAAGCATTTCTTTACTCGCGTGTTACCAACATTATTTTATAAAATCCATTACAATTTCGTTAATTGATTTACCTGATTTTTACGAGCGGCGATATGTAGCGGAGTATGTCCGTTTTGCGTGGCAAGATGGGATGACGCTCCCTTTTCTAACAAGAGATTCGCAACGTTAGGATGATCGTAATGGCACGCCAAATGCAAAGGCGTGATATCGTTCTGAAATATCAAACATTCTGTATAATTCCACCTAATTCGTTTGAAAGCCGAAAGATAATTGACAAGGCACAAAATATTACGTTGTGTAAAAATATTTTTTTTCGATTTTTAGGTAAAGAATTAAAAGAAAGTAACACTTAGTCTTCAATTTCTTTGAATTTCTTTGCGCGAAAACCATTTTAATTTTTTCGCTCAGAAAATTCGGAAGATCGGAGTATCTCTCTAAAATTAGCGATATGTTTCAAATCTTAGAAGATTTGTTAGGAGAAAATATAAGAAAGTTCTCTCGCCTAAATATGTGAATTTTTTTTACTTTTTTTACACAACTCGATATAATTTACAGACGCGCACGAACCTTTCCCTGGACATCAAGTTTACTTTGTTTTTGCAAGAGTATATTTGCGACGTTCATATTTCCGTATTTAGCCGCGATATGTAAAGGTGTGAAGCCGTTTTTCGTTGCAGCCTTGAGAGAAGCATTGTTCTCCACGAGAATTGCCGCCACCTGTTTGTCAGAAAAATTTTGCGTTACGGAAAAAAATGCTTTCTGTATCTTTACTTATTCATTTTTTTCGCAATACGAGACAAAGATAGAGACTTCTCTTTTAACTATTTCAACGACACAGATTCTTGAATATTTTTAAGTATATCAATAAAAAAGAATTTTAAATAATTTAAATATTTCATAATAAATATTAATATTTTTACAATAAAAAAGGATTAATATTTGATATTTTTATATTAAGTAAATTCTCTATATTGCATATTAAAATATACAAAAAATTCGAAATAATGTTACGCAAATAATTTCGAAATAATCTCTCCAAGCTTAGCAAAAATGTTACCTTCTGCAAGACAAATTTCCATTAGAAAAGAGGGATTTGTAAAAAATCGATGTATTCGTGTATCCGAGCGACATGACACACAAAATAATAACGAGTCTTATACAAATTGATATATCGGGGCTAAGTTAACACTCGTTTAATGACTTTGATAACGTCCTTAAGGGAGGAAACTCTACGAAAGTGTAAGTAAATTATTTATGAGACGCACAGAAATATACATAAAGGGAACATGGACACGTTTCGCTTGACGCAGCGCTTGACAATCGATATCGCACCTCGGAGCAATAAAACGATTGCCAAATGTCACAGGGTGAAATTATACGTCCATGATCTGGCTATACCTTCACGTATAACGAGATTGCCTGATAAAGGGAACTTTCCAGCAAGAAACACACATAAACACAATATCATATGATTAGCTGTCAAATAGAAAGAATTTTAGGGTCTTTAAAAATTCTCTATTTAATAGCCAATTACGTGACATTGTGTCTATCCGTATTTTCTTGCTGGAAAGCTCCCAAAAAAAGGAGAGAAAAGGAGGAAATGATGATAAGATGAGCGGGAGGATGCATGCATTTTTAGAACATTTTCGGCGAGGTATGAAAAATTATCCGTATATATGCGTGAAAAAAAAGAAGAAACGAAGAAATAAGGTAACATAAAGAGAATGAAAACAATGTAACGAAAAAGTTTATTACATAACGAATACATGAGATAATGCGGAATAAACGTGACATAACATAAAATATATATATATATATAATCAAAGGTAAACAAAAGTCCATCAATGGAAGAGGTAAAAATGTGCGAGATAGATGAATCGACGATCGATTTTTAAAACGATGCGTGTGGACAAGTGGTAGATCAGATAACATATTTTTTTTGCAGCTTGCTCGACTCCGTCATCCTAAATAAGGTACTCGCGTTGCCGGCTCCAAAACAGGTACACTCTGTTTTGCATGGCGATGTAATCCGCGATCTGTGCGCACTCTTTGTACATTACCTCCTCTTGACCTTCCTTCGCCGCGATATGAAGGGCCGTGTACATATCTTTCGTAGCGGTGTCCACAGCTGCGCCGTGTTGCAGTAGCAGCATAACGATGTCGATATTCCCTAATCGGGACGCGATATGAAGCGGCGTCTGCTGCTCCTATAAAATAACGACGATAACAATATTTAAAAAAAAAAGAAAGTATTCGACAAAATTTCGTTTGCGAAGCGGTCAAATGAAAGCGTGAGAAGGTGCGATTAGAAAATTTGGAGTTACAGAGTAAGCGATGTTAACTCTTCAAGGCACAGAATTTTTCTAATTATACAAGAAGTTATAATTAACATGACATACAAAATAATTTTTGTAAAAAAACGTATAACAAATATATATAATATATATGTTCTTTTTGTCATTTAGGGCCGGTTGTTCCAACTTCTTGATAGATTTACCCGTCAATCACCCATTAGATAAATATCAGTATAAATAGAGACCTTAATACGATGATTGGAATAAAGAATAGAATTACCTTTTGATAATAACAATTTAACCCATAGATAAACTTTACAATAGATGAAACAACAATTATTGATATTTATCTAATGGGTGATTGACAGATAAATCTATCAAGAAGTTGGAACAACCGGCCCTAAATGACAAAAAGAACATATATATTATATATATTTGTTATACGTTTTTTTACAAAAATTATTTTGTATGTCATGTTAATTATAACTTCTTGTATAATTAGAAAAATTCTGTGCCTTGAAGAGTTAACATCGCTTACTCTGTAACTCCAAATTTTCTAATCGCACCTTCTCACGCTTTCCTACAAATTACAATTTATTTCAATTTTTTTATTTAATAATTTCGATATGAAATTTTATTCAGAAAAATTTTTTTTTAAATAAAGCAATATATATAAATTAATTTCTACCATTATACGCAAATAAAAATTTAATAAAAATTTTCTACAAATTTATTTCTATTATTTTATTTAATAAATTTATTTAATTTTATACAAGTTAAAATTTATTTCTGTTTCTTTAATAATTTCTGTATTAAATTTTATTCAGAGAGATTTTTTTAGATAAATATAAATTAATTTTTACCATTATACGTAAATAAGAGTTTAATTAAATAGACAAATTTTTGAGTAGAATAGTAAAATGTTGTTCGTGCCTTAAAGAGTCATGTGACTAAAGAAGAAAGCGTGAAGAAAAAGATATGAGATGTTAGATTCGTCTTACTTGCAAGTGGAAAATCACACACTTCGATTACAAATCACTAGTAAAAGACGATTTAAATGTCGATATATGAGACTGGTTAATGGCTCATGCTTTTGTAATTTAAAAAGGAGTGCGTATGAGTGATCATTTGTATGTATATGACTTTCTAAATTCTAATTTCTTCTTTCTGCGTTCGAGACAGGTACAATACTTCGCACTGTCGTCAAGCAAGCTCTATTCTTCTCTGGCTCGATAAAGCGGCAAAGAGAAGGGAGAGAGGGAGGAGGGGGAAAAAGGTTGGAGTTGATCTTTCGGGATGCAACACGCTTTACTTACCCTTGCACGAGCATCGACTTTGGCACCATTTCTTAGCAAAATTCGAATAATGTCTGTTTGATTAGCTCTAGCTGCCAGATGCAGGGGTGTTTCGCCCCTGACAGTTGGCACGTCGGGATTGGCCTCATGCTGCAGTAGGAATATCACGATATTCATACATCCCATAAAACTGGCCACATGTAATGGAGTCAGTCCGGACTGCAAAACACATGTATATTTTGTCTATTAATATTTATTCCGACTTCGATGATGACTCCAGAATTTTATTAATTCCCGATCGATCCTGTATTCTCGTTTCAGACGATCAGTGTCTCTCGGAACAATTGTGACAACGACATGAACAAATACATAAAAATGATCGTGATACAGAATTACGTTGATTGATCTTCGTCAGTTTTATCTAGTAACGCACGACCCTTTAACCAGTCTTTGAAATTAATCAAATCGATGTTTAATATTTATTAGGGGCGAAGAACGAGATCTCTTTCATTCTTAATATCTAATACGTTAATTACCATTAATTGTGCAACACATTTCAATGTGATTTTTTAATTGTACTCCTTTTTAATATATATATCTCCGCGCGCGCGGAAAACGATCATTTCTGTGCAATTTTTTTCTTTTCTTTTTTTTGCGATCGATATCACGATCGTAATATTCCATCGAACGTTGAACTATTGACACTGTGTGAAAACATTCGTGATTTACAGATGCGAGGAGACATTTATGGAGACATGATTCGATTGCGAGATGCTTGATTCGAGTGCAAATTGGAAGGGACGGGATTACCTCGGTAGTCGACTCGATGGACGCCCCATGCTTCAGCAGCAGCTCCACGACCTTGATGCGATTTTTCTTGCAGGCGATATGGAGGGGCGTGAAGCCGTTCAGAGCCCTCGCATTCGGATCGGCTTTTCGATCGAGCAGCAATTTGGCGACCCTCACATGACCGCAGTGCGCGGCGACGTGGAGCGAGGTCAGGTAGTCGATGGTTACCTCGTCCACCGGCGCGCGATGGTACAACAGCACCCTCGCAGCGTCCACGTGGTCCCCTTGAGAGGCCATGTGTAGGGGTGCGAGCCCATTCTGCGCGAAAAGAATCAGTTTGATTATTAATTTAAAACAAAAGCACAGGTCGCGAAAAGTATACTTATAGAATCAAGATTGAAAACACATTGATCATCAAATTACAGAGAATTAGAATATTTTAACGATTATAAAAATATTCACAATAGGGCTGGTAATTTGTTTCGAAGGCTTCGACATTCGAAGCTTCGACACTAAAATCTTCGACGCTTCGAAGAATCAAAATTATACAATTATTAATTTAATATAATAGTAATTTAATATAATAGTACCGCAATTACTATCAAGGTACATATTTATAAAATTACAAGATAAAATTCGAATAAAATTCCTAATGTTGCAATAATTAATGTTGAATAATTACATATTTTTTGAGCATATATATTAATTAATTCCTTTTATTTACAATATTTTTAGCGTTTCCTGAATGAATTCTCCATTTGCACAAATATATTCTTCAAAGTCGTCAAAAGTAACAGCCCTAATTCAGAGCCGCAACTTTGTAAATATAATTTTATATAATCCTAGTCTTAAAAACTCTCTCACTCTTTAGATTTCAATTTTTTAACAGCATTTTTTTCCATAATTTATTTAAATGTCAAACGTAAAAGTAACGAGATAAAAGACTGCAAGAAAAATTACTTGACAATAGAAATAAGAAAAGGGGCTTTAATAAATAATATAAAAAACAAGAAAGAAAACGGGAAAGAGAATGTGAATTTTTCTTTAATTAAATATATTTCAGTTTCTTTTCGAACTTTCACGTAAATCAAATCGATTTAATTTGTTAATAGCTATTGAAGATGGGGGCCGGAAAGAAATCGAAATGTTTTTAATTACAGAATTTTTTATGAAGATAATTATATTTGCGCTCGAGTCTTAGCTCGTTTTTCCTCTCGTTTTTTTATTTTTTAAATAATTTGAAGTGCATCGATTGATCAATTATATGCTAAAACGTACCTTAGTACGCGCACTGATCGGCGCTGAATTTTCGAGTAACGTACTGACGACTTGCTCGTGTCCCGATCGCGCTGCACAATGAAGCGGAGTCAGGCCATCCCTGGTTTTAGCGTCGATTTGCGCCGAGTTCTCCAACAGTATCTTAACCATATTGTTCTTGCCCCACTTTGCCGCCACGTGTAGCGGGCTTATGTTGTGCTGAAAAAAAAAAGAGAATACATATTACACCGATCTAAAAAATATCGAATCATAAGATTAAAACACGCTATGTAAAAATACCGATTGCTGCGCTGTAAAAAATTTTCTAAAAATTCAGACATTTTTTTCTGAATTTTCAGATCTGACAGATGTCTGAGAAAAATTTCAGACGATCCGTTTTAATCATCGGAGTCGTTTTTCCGAAAATTCAGAAGAGTGCGTCTGCAAAAAAAGCTGCAGACACTTTGTCTGAAGATTAAAACCGTTTAGAAAATATTCAAAGCAGTTATTTCTAAATTATAAAAAACAATTTATTCATCATTAAACGCGACATATAATCTCGCATCGTTTTCACCTAGATTATAATTATACATTCTCTTCAGATGTATATTATGTATTAGCTGTCTTCATTTTCAAAAATTTAAATTTCGAGTTATTTTTATAAATTGACCTATTCAATTATTTTTAAAGATCACCGGATGTACCTTACCTTAGCTAAGTAATTTACATCGGCTCCTCGTTTTATTAATAACCGCGCTATTTCCTCGTTCCCATAATGAGCGGCGATGTGAAGAGGGGTGAAGCCACTCTTCGATGTCACGTCGGGCTTATGGTCGTTCTATTCGATGGCATTATAAAAAAAAGAACGCCGTATTTTAATTTACTCAATTATTTCACATACCGATTAATTTTTAATACGAAGATTCAGCGAAGGTTTACCTGCAAGAGCAAGTCGGCGGCTTTGCAATCGTCTTTCTTAGCAGCAATATGAAGGGCCGGCAATCTGACCTTGCCTTTGGAGTCATTTTCCAGGAGCACGCTAACCACCTTGTCGTGACCTTGCTGCATCGCCACGGCAAGCGGTGTAAAACCATCCTAAGAAAATATCCGAATTGTTTTATTTGCGTCTTCCAATATAGAAGTTTAAAGATTCGGAATTTTTTATAATAATTTTATATTAATTTCTACATATAATTACATATATCATATATATATATATATAT